AAAAACCCAATGGAAAAAATATCCTTTGGTGCAGATTAAAAAAATAAAGAATCTGTATCAGGAATAGGTGCATTTACCTCTTATTGAAGGGACTCTCTCCAGGTATAACGTGGGTGCTCTCAGGCCCTATAAGAAAGCTGATACGATCGTAGAAGGACTTGGCGGCTTGCTGAGATGGTGACTGTAGGCTTTGGCTAATGATGTCCTGGGGGTCGGGCAGTCCGCGGCAGTAAGGCTGACTTTGGCAAGAGCTCTGTAAACAGCAGTCGGGGTCCATGCAGTCAGTGAGCCCATCTGCAGAGAGAAACGTAAACCAGTGAGAGAATTCTCCTTTCTACGCCGCGGTGTGGAATGTGTTTTGTTTGTTGGTTGCTTTTTTCACATTGAACCATTGGTTCCCCCTACCCCCCATCTAAGAGGAATTCCTATGAGGTATACTTTTTGGAAACAGATGAAATATAAACACAGTCCTTGCAGCTGCTTTGGTAGAAAGTAAATGTTTAGATTGGAGATGGCTGAAAAGAATCCTACGTCGATTCTGAGTAAGAAACAAAAAAATGACTAATTAGAGCAGTCTATTAGTAGTATGAAGTAATATGGGCTAGTTTTAAGTGTAATTACTCAAGCCCTCTATATTTAGAGAAAACACACTAGGAGTCAGCATAGTAAGTGTGTATGGGAAATGGACAGGGGCCTCTGCAGGGTGACATTCTAATTTGGGAAAGGGTCAGGAAATAACAGTCCGTGAAATGAAGCCAAAACATCAACACGAAGTAGATGAGACGAGTCAACTGCCTTTCAAGGATGCTGCTCTCCCAAGGAAGATAAAAGCCTGTTCCCAATAAAATGAAGGCATTTCTCATATACTGAACAGGAGCCTGACCCCCCGGTATGCCTCCCTAAAATGGGGGTGTCAATTTAAAATGTAGCAAATGTAAATAAGCCATATACCGGACATGATGAGAACCTATCCCCCCAAACTGGCCCACAGCGATGCTGATATTAAACAGTCACGGATAGAAAAATGTTGCCAGTGCCTCCTCCAGAAACATCAGAAGAAATTTAACGGTCCGTTTCAGCATTTTGTTTGAAACATATAAACTGACCCATTAGTGGGAAAGAGTGTCAGGTCATGATGGTTTGATGACATTATCTTTTAAGCTCATTTTTCCCTGACCAGCTGATACATACACTTCACCTGCTTGCCGATGACATTTCTCAGGATAGCCTAATGAAAACATGGGCTTTGAAGACTTGATCACTTTTGGGAGAACTGACAAAAGTTCAAAATCTTAAAAACCCGAGGATCAGACGTTGGTGGGACTCTATTATGGCCAATCAGTTGAAAGTCTAGTTGACCTATATATTTTATTTACGCAAGTGTTTTTAGATAACTTTTATTTATTTTTTAAAGAACACTGTAGCCATTTCCTTTCTCTCTCTTTTTGCTTTCGGCTACTCTTATTACTCGAATAGAAGCCTGCCCCCCTTCATTATCTGACAGCAAACTGAGACAGAAGAAAACCGAATGGACTGAATTACTCCGCTGCCCACAAGCAGGTCAACAGCAACACAGGCGAGGCGAGGCACAGAGGTCGGGCCGGCTCTGTGTGTTTTGTGCACCCGAAGGACACAGTGAATGCTTGTGACTTCTCCTAACACCCATCTCCCCTCCTTCGGGCAACAGCTCTAAACTCTCATTTGGGTGCCCATCCCTCCCCCACTCAGTCCGGGTGCATGTTCCCCTTCATGTTTGCATCAGAAACGTACACATGACCTGTCTAACCAGAGTGAGTTCCAGCAGCTGAGAAGAGATCCCCCGGCCCCCCACCAGCTCCACGTGGGAGGCTACAGCTGCCCGGGAAGCGCCATCCCCGAGGGAGCAGAGCCAGGGGCCGGAGAGAACAGACAGCAGGTCCTAGGGACATCTCAGGGGTTTTGCAACGAGCTGACCTCCCAGGCTTTCCAGTTCTAGAAGCAGAGGCATTCCCTGCTTCCTCTGCTGGTTTGGGTTGGATTTTTTGTACTTGAAATTCAAAGGACTTAATTTATCTAGAGTCAGTACCTCAAAATCTTCTCACTCCTTTCCTTGTAGTTAAAAAAAAAGCTTAACAGGTGAATACTTGAATTAAATTTATGGTGTTGGGCTCTTTTTACATTAATATTTAAATTTTTTGGTGACCACAATTTCTATACACATGAAAACATGTGAATCAGAATTCGCAATAGGCAGGTATTATGACATACTGTTTCCTTATGATGGTTAGATTTTTATGTACATGTCTGTTACATGTCTAAAAATGTGTTAATTGAAACTGCATATTATTCCTTTGAAAAATATTTAAATTCATGTTTTAATAAAATCAAATGAAACTGAGCTTTGAAATTTAATATGAAAATTTTCAAAATATTACTTTCTTAGCCAAAAGGCCATGAAGATGAAAAATGTCTAAATATTTCTCAATATTTCTAGGGGAAGAAAGATGAGACTATGTTATAGGCTTTTTCTTCATGAAGACATTTTATAATAATGCAATACGGTGTATTTTTCCTCCATCTCTTTCAAAGAAACAGAAGCACAGTTATTAAGACTGAGATTTTTAAAATAGTAGACTACTCAACTATTGCCCCAATATCATTACTGACTTCAAAAAAACAATTAAAAAATAAAACTCCATGGATTCAGAATGCATTTGCTTGGGAGAGAATTTAACACAAACATTTGCTATTCCTGCAAGTTTTCCCCTAACAGCCATTCTTTAACATGAGCAGAAACTACTCAATAGAGAAAGTACTTCCAAGTACTGTAGTATATTGCATGTCCATGAACTTGGTAAATTAAGGTTTAAATGCTCCCCACTCTCTTCTCTTCCCCCATGATACTCCCACGGTGTCTTTCTGGAGGCAATATACGGTACAGTGGCCAAGGAGAAAGGCTCGATTTTAGCCGTTCATCTTTGTTAGTTTATAAAAAGCAAATGTACATCTGGCATGTAGTCTGCAGGTCATAAAACCGCATGAGATTGACACCTTCTGAACTAATCAGTTGGAAATGCATTTTTACAGGCCTCTCTGCTAACATCAATCAGAGAAAGAATCTCATTTTCAACAGCCAAGATGCAGGGGCACACTGTTTGTTATTTTTCTGCTGAGTTTATCAGTAACTTGCCCGAACAAGTGACGGATGGTTATGAATCTGGCTCCCTATCACTTGAGCAAACGTTTTTCATTCTTGTTTGTACGTCTATGGCGAGGGCTGTCCAGTACCACTAAGTTGATGACCCACCTGCCCAAATGTGTATTGTAGCAAAATTGTCTCCGTGGAAGAGCTTCTCAAAATCATCGAGAGTCCATTTTAATGTCAAGAATCTTAGGTTGGCCTACATTTATGTTGGCGTAGAAGTGAGATCTAGTAGAATTAATCATAAAAAATCTCAAGAAAGTCAGAAATGTTCAAACGCGTTAAATAACAATGTCAATGTCAATTAAGAGCCTTTGTTCAGTTTAAGTGTCTCAATGTAAGTGGTACTTTGATGTAAAGTAGATAATACAGTTTATGCTTTCACTCAATCCTTATTATTGCTCTCTCATTTTTAAACATGCTCTTGTCTTTCCTTCAGCTTCCTTTGGACTTTAACAGTGGTTGGCAAACTTATTATGCAAAGGGCCAGACAAATATTTTAGGCTCTGTGGGCCATACAGTCTCTGCTGCAACTCCTGAACTGCTTCTAGAGCAAGCGCTGAAGCAGCCCAGCCACAGGCAGCATGTGAATGAATGGCTGTGACTGTGTTCCAATGACACTTTAGTTATAAAATCAGGCTTTAGCTCATGGGTCATAGTTTGCCAACCTCTGGTCTTGATTTAAAGTTTCTGTCCTGCTCTAGTTCCTTGCATTCTTCAAAAATCATTCTTGGTATTTATTTTTTCTAACTTAAACAAGGCACATTTGGCCAGATGATTAAAATTTCTGACTCCAAGTCCTTTCCTAGGTGACCCTCTATGCTGGCTTTGATTCTGCTTGTCCAAACTCCCCCTTTCCTCTTTCACGCAGCCATGGATATTTTAATGTTTTTCAAAACTTTGATTTACTGACTGAATAAAAAGTCATAAATCTCCTTTTTGTGAATCTTCGGTTTAACTCAAAATATAATGCCCAGCCCCTGCCCCCACAGTATTGGAAGCCTCTTTCTCCAGTCCAAGCTAGAGGCAGAGGTAGAAATTCTGAGGCAGTAGTTTATCTGTGGACTTCAGAACTTAGAAAGTGTACAAATGTACCCTGCATTACTCTCTGAAGTCGCCATTCTGAAATATGCTTGAAATTCATCTCTCTACTACGGAACTGGGATGATGCTGGGTTTTCTGTATCCTCTTGGTTTGTCTAGAACAGCTTTCTTGATGACTTTAGTCTCTATGTTCACATCATTTCAATGCTAATGACTCCAGGCTGGTCATACTCCTGAACCCCATACCCACAAGCTACCTTCTAGATTCTTCCGCTCGGATATCTCACAGGCATAAAAAACTTAACATGTCTAAAACAAAGCGCATGTGATCTTCTCTAACCATGCTGCTTCTTCTGTACTGTACAGTTCCACC